GGCGCAATTGCCCTAAAATGTGAACTAATAAAAACTTCAAATGCTCACAGACTCCGGGCTTACCTTCAACCTGGAGATTTCGTAGTATGTTCTCCGTTTGTAACTTTTACGCCTTATAGACCCGTTCAACCTTGTCTTTCTTTCCTATCTGGCAGCGTCCTGGAAGATCCACGGTTGAAGCATTGCCTGAAAACTGATAGTATAAACGAACCAAGCGAGGATTCTGATGCACCTGCGTTAAACAGTCCAAATCCAAACTTTTGCCTGGCTAAGGCTGATGTTGCGAAACGCATAATTGACTTTGCTCTACGATTGATGGACATCGGCAGCAAACGCCTCACGGAAGAAGGTTAGTGCTATCAAAATATGTACACATTACTTGTCTACTAACTAGGTATCAGTAGCAATGTATTGCATATTTTAGAACCGGAGCCAGAAGCCTCAAGTGATACATCATCACTTCGATACGGCAGCATGTTCCAACTTTGTACTGACAGGGCCCTGCACGAAGCATACAACCGTCCAGCCACAGAGCCTGCCAAACAGAAGTCAAATGACCGCGAAGCCATTGAAACTCTCAGTACACCACCCAAGGAATACGCTACGGCGGCGTATCTATTCCGATGGATCAGTAGACTGCTGCCCGTGGCAACGGCCTTCTACACGATGGACGACCACTGTACAGAAGCTGTTGAGTTGTCCTGCTGCCACGCTCGTGCGTACAGTTATATAGCAATTTACGAGAGCGATCCCACCCGACAGGTTTGCACAGCTCTCATTCGTATCATCAAATTGCTTCTCTTTATTTCATTATTTGTGCCCTGGTAGAATAAGAGACTAAGCACGCATGATAAGCAGCCGACCGGCCTTTTGTGCCCATTATCACAGTGTCCTGTGGTAGGGCACCTGTAAATGCTATATCTTCCTCTCAGCCATTGCAATTTGTAGCTTAATGCGTCCGGGATTCGAACACTCATTTCGGTCAGTGTTGTCCAGTATAAAAGCTGTAATTGTTTCGCATACGAAATACTGTTTACGCTAGAGTCTGTTCGGACACTACTGAGGTCGACCACACAAAGCTCATCTTTACGGGTATGTACCAGGTAAATAAGTATCACGCACAGTAGGGACTAAAGCTCATGCAAAATGCCGAAAGTTGCGAAAGATTGATAATCACTCGTAAACCAGCATTACGCATGTACGAAAACTTGGGCAAAATAATGAGCTACTTTAGGCGAATTTAGATGTTAAAAAAAGTATAAAGAGTACTTATTGTTAGTCCAGAAAAAAAAACATCTTGACAGAATCCACGAGTTCCGCAAACGTGGAAAATAGTCAATAATTCGACTAAGCATAAATATACTAGCCAGGCGAACTCGTAACCATACCATTTTCTTTATATTAAAAGAACTTTCCCTTCGGCAAATTTCTTTATGGATATTATTTGTATAAGATTACAATTCGTTTCAGAACGTCCTTTAAATTTCGACCATTTTCAGTATTTTCAAGCTTTGTTTTTCATATATCTTGATTCTGTTCGTCTTTGATATTAAAACGTTCAAAGTAAGATATTTTTTATGAAGATGGCCACGTGGACCGCATTTAGAAATTCCTCAAACCCCAAAATACATGGTCGAGCAAGAAGAAGGTCCGCAACAGAGGTCTCATATCCTTATTCCTAAGATTAATAGAAAAAGCTTTCTATAATAGGTAGCCTCTTTAAATTTTTGTTAATTTGCCTAACAAATAATCGATATAATTTTGCTGGGGCCAAAAAGACGTACTTTTTTCTTCGTATTGACGCATTTTTCGCCATAATTGATTACTATGGGCTCCTTTGCAAGATTGCAAATGAAAACAAAGGAGTGGCCGAATATTTACTAAGAGTTTGACATAATTCTTATTCTTCTATCTTTTCCGTTTCTAAATCGCGCATAAGCGAAAATTATAGTGTGCAAACAAGTGTCCTGTCGCATACTGTAGATTCATGAAGATCGTTTTTTACTTTCACGTGCACGATAAAATATATGGATTTTTATTTACGGTCTCATATATTCGGTGCGATAAAAAGGAAATACGATCAAAAAGTGTTTTGCTGCGTTTTCTGACAAAAACACCTCAGACGCGGCAAACAGTAATTTTTAAAATTGAAATTGTTCCTTGTTCTAGGATAACAACGCAATTCCTTGGACTTGGCTTCACCTGATTTTCATCAAATTAAGACTAGATTTTCCAGTTCTCGAAGGGATGTGTTTTAAACTTTCCTTGCTTTCATTGGCGGCCCCCGATAGTACAAGTCAACAAAAATTAAAGGTTTTGGTCTGGCCTACTAAGCAGCGTGGGGAATTTGTTCCATATCAGGCAACTTCCTATTTCCCCAAAAATGTTGCCTATTCCTTACTAAAAGGCTTTCTCAGGACAAAATCCACTCATTAGATCAAAATTACGTGACCAAACGTGTATGCTAAACTACCAAGTCCAATTTCGGTCATTCTCCCTCCTTCGCGGCAAATATAGGATGATAGACAGGAGTTACTCCAGACAAGACTTATTTGTGAAATTAATACTACTCACTGTTTGTCAATACTATTTTAGTAGCGGCCTTATTGAATGTAAATTAACCGTCGAGATCTACTTTCGGTCATGACTTAGCATGAATTACCTCGTTCAGGCTAGAGTCAATTCACTCACTGCTGAAGTCAAGCATGCAGAAAGCTCTGCTTCACGGGTATATAGCACGTAAACAAGTAGAGCAAAGTTGCAGAGCCGTGAATTCCTAAAAAGCTCCCTGCCTTTACTTTGCATGTTCTTCCTCTTAGTGGTACCTAACTTGGAACCTTTTTGTTGTGTTCAGTGCTGCATGCAAAAACGCCGCTCAGATATACTGGAAGCCCTCCTGGACCGGCTAAACCCCCAGCACTACATGGCCCTGCGGCGTCAAATCATGTTCGACCTGGCCGATGCCCTCAGCATCCACAGTGCTGTCAAGATCCAAAAGACGGGGGTAAGGTTGCCGTTTCGTCTTTTCTACATTCTGCGGGGTCAATTTGGCAATACCAATATGCTGATTAACAAAATTTACATGTTTACTACTTAAGTATTCCAGGTGATAATTCGACCATCCACTTCGATGCTGTCCACCATGTGCTCAGAGAGCAGGGATGGTGACTGTAGCCAGATATGGTGGAATTAGACGCGCAAACATCTACCGCGCTCAAAACCCTCATCCCGCTTGAACCAGTGATAAGATAGAGTCGAGATGACCGAGCGGGGCTCAGACGTAAGCCGCTTTATCCAATGCAGGCCAGAAATACTGCCCAACTTAATCTTAAGTGACAGAAGCCTTTTGCGTCGGTACTGCTGCACTACTTATCCACACTCATCTTCAGTAGGTGTCCAGAAAGATTCAAGGAGACCGAGCCTAATATTCTTTCAACTATTTATACTACTACTTAATAGCAGTGTAGGTTAGTGATAGTAGTGCTGGTACTATTACTGACACTAATATTTGGTTAGAAGAGGCAGTGACTAGAGTCAGTACTAGGCTCGTGTTCCCTCGTTCTCAACTGAGAGTGGGGACCTGGATTTATGCTATTTTGAGTAGATTAGATGTTTGAGGCTCGGAGCACACCAATGCTTGCTCTGGTTGTTTCCCAAAGTTTCATTTACTAGGGCTAGAATACTACTGTTAGAAGTGTTATGCCTATGCTAGAAATGCTAGTTCTAGTAATCATAGTTGCTAAACCCAGTAAGTTGCAAGCTACAATGCAGCCTGGTCGTGCATGTAGGCAGTTTTAACCTAGTATGCAGTCGTAACCTATATCAGGATTTTAGTCAACTGAAGGGTTAAAGAAACGTGTATGTAATTATAGCTGAAGATCTGCCATACATTTAGGTCGTAAGAAAGTGGCAATATAGTGACGATATAGTGTCAGATAGATGATAGTTCGACCACTGATTTTGATCATGTTCACCATATGCCTCTCGTATAGTCACTGGGTGTAGCGTTCGATATACAAAGCGCAGCCCCAGGGTACCGTCTTCCTGCATGATTAGCCCAACGGTTACCATGTCTTTATCTCGCAAGGGAGTGCCATTTACCGTCTTCAGGCTAACTGTAGATTTACTACCATGTCCAGCTATAGTTTGGAAGTTACCGAACGTCTCACGTCTAACTAAGGGCGCAACATGTTCCAGAACTAACTTAGTATAATAGCATGCTATTTCCTATACTGTAACAGCAGCAGAAT